TCTATTCCAATGACTTAATCTTTAAAATTGCGATTTATAAAATTGGTATCATTGATTTGTTCCGGAGTTAGTTATTTATCGAAAAGTTCGTGGCACCAAATAAAGTATTGGTGTGACATCCCAAATCCTATATTCGATAAAAGAAGCCTTGTTAAGTAATATATAAGCTAATATTCACCATAAATGGTCACCAATTTAAGTGATTACTTTGACCAATCCTTTTGGAGGTTTGATCCACTTTAAATGGGTTATGACATTACAGATGATTTAGAGCAAGACTCCTGATAAATGTATGAGTTGTGGTCAGATTGGGCAAATACCCAATTCAACGAGGGTAGGGAGTGATCACATTGGAGAGAAGGAGCTTGGACAAAGGGCAACTCCCGATGGGTCTCAAGCATATGGGATAGGAATAAACCAAACCAAATTTCGAATAGGGAGATAGGACGTCAGTAATTTAAGTAAGAGTTTGTGACATCCCAAGTCCCAAATGGAATGAAAGAGGTCTTGTTGAGTAATATATAAACTAACACCCATCTCGAAAAGAGTTACCACATTCGGTGATTACTTCGAGTACTCCTCTTGGAAGCTTGAATCACGTGGAAAGAGCCAGATCCTTATCTCTCCACTTAGGGATTAGCTGACATTTTAGTTTGCATAATTTTAATAATTTACACACCGACGATCTCCTACATTACTAATTTTCTCCCACTTTACCGAAATTATCCTTATGAAGAAGAAGTCTTCAATGAAACCTCAACACCAATCTCTCTTTTCTCTTCCTTTGCCTCTTGTCATTCTCCGATGACCAATCACCTCTGCCTCAACTTCTCTACCCATGTCACTTCTCTCTCTCATGGGGATGATTGGTTCCAAGATGGGTTAGTTCCTAATGTAGAACTTCAATTAACCTATGATCCTAGAACCAACTGGTTAGTTTAGGAAAAAACCGGTGGGTTCAAACCCGATTCCCACGCGGGGAAAAGTAAAAAAAAAATAGTAACATAGACAATATTCACATTTGTTTTAGTTAAGTAAGCATGTAAATGATGCCATATATGTAATCCACGTCCAATTAGAGAAGTAGTTGGAGATTTCTTCATCTGGGGAATCCAGAAAAATATAATCGTTGCAAAAGACAATCATAGCAATGGCTTTGGAAACACTAGCCAGAGTTACCTCCTCCTAACGTCAAATGTCCTCTTCTCTTTTTGTCATATTTTGAAGGACCCATCAATAATGACTAAAAAGTAGAGTGGCCGGCACTTAGTCACACGCTAATGATATTTCCACAACTTTAGTATTTGTGGTTTCCTTCCACTATTTCTATGCAAAATATTCTATGTAAAGTTGTGAAAACATTTCTGGGAGAAGTTAATTATTGCAGCAGAAGAAAACCATTTAGGCATTAAGTTGTTGAGCAAACTATTATTGTTGAGAATATATCCTTTCCCTAAACAAAATCAACCAAACTTGATATTCAAGTGCCTTTCAACCAAACTTATTATTATTTTTTTGACCCAAAACAGATTGTTATTATCATAATAGATTTACGACAGTCGCATAAACAATTTTCATTCTTTATATTAACAGTAAACTCTCGTTATAGTGTGCAAGCGGCAAAAGCCGAGTTGTATTAGAGCAGATTCACATGGGTCCCCGTCTGATCTTGATTTATCAGTGTGAGATTTTGTGAGGCCACTACTAACTATTTTTTTTTTTTGGTCAAGCACTACTAACTATTTTAAAAGCTTAAACTGTTAGATGAAGGCGTGATTTAATATTTTAATTATTCTATCACTCCCCCTCACGCTTAATCTGGTCTTTTTACCTAGTACTAAGCGTGGACATAATTAATTGAGAAGGCAAATGGGGTCTGGAAAGATTTGAACTCAGGACCTCTACTTCTGATACCATGTGAGATTTTATGGGATTACTATTAATTATTCTAAAAGTCTAAACTGTTAGATGAAGACGTAATTTAATATTTTAATTATTTTATCAATCAGCCTGAATGATTAATTCACCGAAAAGAGCAATCGTATTTGTACGAGGCAATGCTGATTGAACCTTAATCGTAGGGGTTTTATCCAACCAAAACCGATGAGTCTCGTCAATCGGAACTGTCACATAGCCGAAGACATCGATTGATTGCTTATGTGGGGCGACAAATTCATCAGACGGGCAATTGGCGTTTCTTGTTTTTATGAAAGCGTAAATGGCTCTGATCATCAGTCCAATCATATGTCGAATCATGTGATTCATGGTGTGGTCGTCAATGTGAATTATTGGTCATTAGCTGGCAGGTTCATTATCATGAACTACCCTTTGCTCGTTCAATTAAGCACTGATAGGTGCTGGCTTGGTCCATGTTTCTTCTAGTTCCATTTGAGGCCTGCAATCTTGGATGGGTTTTTAGTTACTCTAGAGTCGATAGGTAGGCCGAGCTTACTTTACTCTTCTGGTACTTTATAAGGACTTGTTCTTTAATACAACAAAGCGCATCTTCTGCTTGACGATTCGATTCGACAAATTCTTCATGAATATACACCAACAGTCCCGCCCAAGGACCATTCGGGTAACACTCCTTGCTTAGGAAGAAATCCAAATTCCGAAATGCTTTAATTAGTTAGGGTTTAATAGTAGTAATTAGTACTCTACTCATGATCTCATCTTTTATGATTGAAAGCAGTCGCCACTAATTAAAGTCACATCTCTAATGAATAGGGTAAAACATAGGAGCCTACCCCTGTGATTTCTCATACCTAATCATTTATTGTTTTTGATATGGAGATCCTTTGACACATAAAGGTCTTTTCTATCATTAGGTTGCAAATGAATTAAATTGTGGTCCATGTCTATGTAGAGTAGAGATGACAAATGGGGGGATCGAATCGATTTTGAATAAGGTTGTTTTGAGTACAAATAGTTTTTACATATTGGTTCAGTTAAATATAAGAATGCAGAAGAGATAAATGTGGAAAATTGCATATATTTCGATATATCAAAATGAATAGTACATCAACCTATTTATAGGCTTTATGAGAGAGACTATCAAAGGCAATATATATCAATCAAGATATGCACAATCAAAGGTGAAATCGCACAATCTTGAAAGATACAAAAAACCAACAGAAATATTCTAATTGTCTCTAATATAGGAAAATATCCTAGAAAATTATCTTAATTATCTCTAACATCCTTCCTCAAACTCAAGATGCATAAATGATGTCAACTTGAGTTTGAATACTAGTCTGAACAGTGTCCAGTGGCTGGCGGATTAGGCAACGTCCTCATGGCGAAACTTCAAATCTTGCTAGTCTGAGAGCGGCGAGTTTCTCAAGACGACACGCAAAACATCGATAATCGGAGGGGAAACAACAAGTGATTGATGTGGCTGGCTTGCAAAACAGTAACTGAGTGACACGGCCTATACGGTTGGCATCGTAACATCAAGCGGCCTATACGGTTAGCTTGGAAAATAGTTACTAGAATGGGGCTTGTGTGACTGGCATCGAAAGAAAGCCACCTCCATGAAAAAGGCTCGACAGGCGACGAGGTGAGTGCGAGTGTTAACATGACTATTATGCAAAGGACTCGATAAGTGCTTCCTCAGATAACAGGGCTCTGTAGATGATTGGCTATCGGACGAGATGAACAATGTTGAAATCAACTTGATTTGAGGATATTAGGACGTATTGGAAAAACAATGACAAGAAACAATATTAGCTCCAGATACGCACTTGGGTGTGCACTGGGTGCACTTTAGGATCGACTAGCTCTAATACCAAGTTGTTAGGGAGCGCATAGCAAAAGTCCAATACCCTTCACCTGGGGATATCATAGAGAGAGAGCTTAAGTCCAAGCCTGTTAACATATCCAGTTGACTCATCTTTACTCAAAAGCTTAAACCAATGAGTTATGAGCCAATTATGATATATTAACTGCTCTACACCATATCAATTCTCCGATGTGAGATTTCTCTAGCACAACTAACACGTGCATCCAAATAATCTCACCTCATGTGTGAGCTCCCCTTTAATTCAGGTAGCCTTTTGCATCAAGATATGACCACCGGGCCTGCATTGTTACACCACAATGTCCATTGCCTGGAAATTACACCAACTTCATCCATCAAACATTGGAACAAACCACCAGCTCTAATATTAGCTCCAAATACGCACTTGGGTGTGCACCGGGTGCACTTCAGGATCGACTAGCTCTGATACCAAGTTAAATATAAGAATTGCGGAAGAGAGAAATGTGGGAAATTGTATATATTTCAATATATCATAATGAATAGTACATCAGCCTATTTAAATGATTTATGATAGAGACTATCAAAGGCATTATATTTCAATCAAGATATGCACAATCAAAGGTGATATCGCACAATCTTGAGAGATACAAAAAACCAACAGAAATATTATAATTATCTCTAATGTAGGAAAATATCCTAGAGAATTATCTAAATTATCTCTAACAGGTTCTTTTGAAATTAAAATGGATCAAGTTCGGTTCAGGTCAATCAACTTTTGTAACATCTTGATGAGTTTCATTTTCTTCGGATGAGCCTGATTTGGATAGTGCTCCATGACAAATTACGCCGTTTTATCTCCGGTTTCATGTTCAATCGTGTTAAAATCAATACCATGGGCAAATGTCTGCTTTGGTTAGTTTCCAATTCGGATTGGATCGATTTCGAATTCCTTCAAGGTTTATCGTGGGTGCAGGTTGTCTCAGACTTGAACCCAACGGATTCGGGTCGATAAATATTTCAATCAACTCGGGTTTGGGTGAGTTTTCGGTGAGTTGTGCAGATTCTTGAGTCAAGTCAGAAATTACCACCTCCACATGCTTAGCAATGACTTAAGACCTTTGGAGAGGAAGTGTTACGTTTTTTTCACTATGTAGGCATATCATTTTCCATGACAATTGCATGCAAATCATGGTTCATGCATTTATTACAAGGTTCATACAATCACAGAACTGCAAAACACTTCAAACACACAGAATAAGCACCATTATAAACTCAGTACTTATATGTTCGTACAATGCATTACTAATCACACACGTTACACCATTATGTGTAGGAAAACCGCCACCAATACAATATATGGCGTTTGAGGGCGTAATTGAAGTAGTAACTTCACCATCCAAATCGTTGCTTCTCGCTATCTCTGCAAGAAGTCCCAGCGAAGTCACAAGGTTCTTGAAATCCGATGTTTTCAACTGCTCCGACGGTCTTGAACATGCGCCTCTTGTTGATCTCCTCCACGAGAGAACGGTGCAACAGCTGGCTCCGGAAGTCCACGAGCGACTGGATCCGTGCTATCTTCTGCTTGTGATTCGCGAAATGTTGACCTCTCTGAGCGTCAAACTGCGCATTGTTCCGTTGGTAGTTATCATTCACTCTCTTGCACTCTTCGGGACAGAATCTTGTGGATTGGTGGGTTTTCGCGAAGCAAAGAGGGTCCCCACGGGGACTTGTATCATAATCGTCTTCGTTGCTTGAGCAGTAGCTGAAATTCGAGTACTTCAGAGAGGTCACTGAGCTTGGAGAAGTTGCCTCATCATGCGCAAAGACATCATGATCTGCATGGATTTGCACAATTAAGTTCTATGTCGCAATGATAGAAAAGAACAACGTGCATATATCTCAAATATGTTCTAAATCCACAATCTGGAGAAATTTCCAACAAAGATTCTTCCTGCCTTTTTGGAAGCAAAAAAAGTTTTCAGATTTTCTTATATGTAACTTTATACCTTGCAGCCAATCCAGGCTAATATTCATCATGTTGTTGCAGACGTCCTTGAGATTTGCATCAGAGAACGGTGAGTTGAAATTTGGGAGAGATGCATGGGAGGAAGAACAAGAGGAGAAGGTGTGAAACGGAGGGCGTGTTTCCTCGTCATCGTCATCATCTTGGTAACTAAAGCTATCGTGGTGATTCTTTAATGGGAGGCAGGATTTTTTCCACGTCGGAACGAGAGAAGATATCTCCTCCTCGATCATCTTGGCGATCTCCATTGGCTCCCGATTGGAAATTTCTAGTTCCCTCACCATCTCCAAAGCGACATCTAGCGCGGTGTCATTCACGATATCGAAGGGAAAGTATATGTTTCTCGCATTTCCTGTTATTAACACAAGAAGGACAATGTTTACGACGAAGTCAGCCAAAAAAGAAGCTAGTACTGAATGAAAAGAATTAGGAAATAAAATTGAACATATTGCCCTACCTGTAGGATAGACTAAACAATAAAGCATGTCAATACTTTGATGGTGGCTTCAATTGAAACATAACGTTTTAAATCATCTCTCACAATTTCATAAGCGGGTGTAATCTTCTGTTCAAAATCAACAATCTGGAGATCAGGCCGCTCATGGAGAACTCTCTTTCCTAGCAGTGTCTTTAGCATAATGATCTCCAAAAAAGAGTCAACACGCTGAAACCGATGCCTCTAGGTCGCCCCTCTTACAAATAATTTGAGTACATTGAACGTAAACAGAACAAGAATTGATGCACGTACCATCTTTTTCAGTAATTTGCACTTTGAGATAGATGGTGTCATCTTCTGAATTCATAGACCCCGTGATAGTCATGTTGGTATTCCTCAAAAGATCGGGCACAATAATCGACGGCACCATTAAATTCATCGCCGTCGTCGTCTTTTTAGGAGTTGAACTTCCACTTGAAGCTTTCGGCGTGAGCAGGAGCGGTCCTCCATCATCGGAGGCAAGAAAGGGATCCAATAAGAGCTCTTGAGCGGGCAATCTATCGCACGCCTTCTTCAGACATTTCCCCACAAATTCTCGTGCTTCGTCATCTTGAATCCGATAAAAGGCCTCCGGTAACTTTCCCTAATTTAATAATTGACAAACGGAATAACTTTAGTTTTTGATATGTAATGCGTGACGTGTAATATTTGAGCTTAACATGGGTATTTCAAACTTTTACCGAAGTGACTTTCTTGTATATTTGAGCTGGGTTCGAACACTCGCCGTATGGGTACTCGGAAGTGAGCATCTCAAGCAAGCACATGCCAAAGGAATATATGTCAACTAGCTCATCGTACTCTTCCTCGTACAGTTCTGGTGCCATGAATTCCGGTGTGCCTGGTAATTACATGAGGAAAACATATGAACTCAGCCGAGGCGACCTTGGTAGTTTCGCAAAATAGAACTGAAATTAACAAACATTTCGATATGGATGAACCAAGCTAAACAAAGTTTCACATAAATGTCAATGTGCGCCGTGGCAAGTGACGCCAAATGAACTTCTGAGCAAATTTAATACAGAGATTCTAAACCTCGGGGGACATAGTGCAATAAATATTTTTCACTAGACCGTATGTTATCAAAGTCCATTAAACCTAGATCACGCGAAAATTCATCCATATCGCGTGCATGTATGCATGCTACATTCTTAAAGGAAGCTCTCCATATCTCTAGTATCATTGAGAAAATATTTATCAATATCGCAAGAGAGAGAGAGAGAGAGAGAAAGAGACAGTGCCTATGACGCTGTGGGCAAGTTGCGATCCACGAAGAATAGCGGCCAGACCGAGATCACCGATCTTGACCTGGCCGAGATGGCCATTGACGAAGAGGTTGTCGCACTTGAGGTCTCTATGTATGACTGGAGGATCATGGCTATGGAGGTAAGCGAGGCCCTTCAGTATTTGGCGAGCCCAGTTCTTAATTGCTCCCATGTGCACTCTTTGATACTTTCTCCTATACCTACATATATATTTCACAAACAGAGATTTCGTTTATGAAGAAAGATAACGAGGTCAAGTTACATACAACGTAGATATTGACCGAACTGTCTCATGGCTGTACTAATGGCCAAAGTCACTCAGATTTTTCGAGTTCAGGTGAACATCATGCAAAAAGCTCACAAGAAGTGCATAAATCTATTGGAATATCCCAAAATTGAGTTTGGACATTTGAAAGAAGACAAAAGAAGGTAGTTCAAGCCATAGAGGTGTTATTACTCTCGGAGGGTGCCGGAGGTGAAGAGCTCAGTGATGAAGTTGAAGGTTCTCCGGTTGGGATCGACCCACGAAGTGTAGAACTTGATGATGGACTCGTGATCGAGATTCTTCAGGAGGTGAACCTCCGAGTAGAGTCTCTGCAGCTCATCCGGCGAGCGGAAAACATCGTGGAGCTTCACTTGGCTCCAAGCCACCTCCATCCCAAGCACTTCGTCGAATGCTCTGTACACCGTCTTCACCGCTCCTTTGCCCAAGACCTCCTTAAACTGCAATAAAAAGCATCAAAAGGGACCGCAACTACAACGTTAGAAACCTTAATTCTCTCGTAAACATGAGGGCGAGGTGGGATACTTTAACAGCATTCTCATGCGCAAGGCGGAAGTCAACCCCAATACCATATTAAAAAGGCCAACCGTATGCAAAGAACATACGAACCCCGTATACAAGCAATGCGGGACACTTTAACATTATTCATATTTGTGTTTCCTCGTATTCAAACGCTCCAAAAAGGGCTCTTTACATTGACCCTAAAGCATTTTGGACGTAATCAGTCGAAGTCCAACTTAAATGCAGTCGAGTGAAAGTCAGAATTCAATTCGTCCTCGTCCACAGATTAAACTCTTCACTTGGTCTCAGAACTCAATCGCTACAAGTCAAAAAGCAGTGAAAAGCAGCCTTTGTATTTGCTTGAGAACTTTTCTTTTCCGCAGCATGGCGGCTTCGGGGTTTTCTCGGTTCCTTCCTTCTTGATCACATGCACTAAACGCTAGATACACAATCAAATCTATCTAGATATTGGTCAAAAGAACTGACTCAACATGCGATAATAGATTCTGACCATACATGCAAATGAAAATTATCCATAAAACAAACCAGATTTCAATTATGCACGTCATTCGAAATCTTCAATTGCATCTAATTCTCCTTATATTTTCCCTTTGAATAGCATGCGTGCAATTACAAAATTCTTTCATAACGTGATACGACAAAAACTTGCCAAGAGCTTGGACGGCCCGTGCCTGAATAGAGACGCTTTTAAAGTTCGACTTGTGATATTGCAATGGAAATAGTTCCCATGCTCCTACCATTAATCTGATCCTATTCGGCTTGCGGATATGGGCCTAGGTATCATGCATAACGCTAGCAACATATTAAGGAGATTCTCCACATCTCTATTGGCTCTCCATGTCGATCAGGAATATGCACATGTTTCCACCAGTTCTCCATATTTATCACATAGAATCATTGAGACTTGGACGTCTTGTACTAAAGAATGAACATATGCATATGTGCATGCACATGGACAATATATTGAGAGGGTCCGACTGAAATTCTAACCACATTGATTAGCCATAATGGGGTTGAATAAGCTTGGAAAGGTGCGTCATCAAAATTGGGCAATCAAAACCCATCTTTTTTATTTTATAGAAAAGGGGAAGTGGTTGTTTTTAAATCGAATTCCACTTCCTCTTGCAGTTGACCAACACCAACAATGGCGTGCTCTTCCAAATATAATATTAGCACCACCAATAAAACACATGAATAACATTGTTTATTGGGTCCACCTCTCCTAATCAGACAATTCAGCGCACGCTCGAATCTAGTACAAGTTGTGTACAGTGCATATGTATTAATTAATTGATTAACTAACTTTAATTATCATTAGTCAAAGTCACATATGGATCTCTGGATGGACGGACACGAACGATCCTCGACTTCCTTTTATAATACGGAGCATTGTAACCTTTTTAACTTGACTATTTGGATAATCTCATATAGAGTTTCATATACATCGAAACCACTAATAGGTTCAATTTTTATAAAAAAATTATAGTCAGAAAAGTTTGGACTCGAGAGGGTATATCCACGTGTCGGGATATGATTAACCCTAAATAGTTGCCACAGACTCTAAATTCAGGGGTGTTTATCAAGGATTAGCCATTCTTCACGCATGAGATAAGAACTAAATATAGGGTCTAGATCAAAAATGGAAAATCAAAAGTATAATAGGTTTTAATCAGAAAATTGATGGAGAGCTACTTACGCGTCCGTATCGGCCCGCCGGGTCGGTCTCGGCGTATTCGACCCTTGCGTTCGCGCCATCCAAAAACTCTCCGGCGGTCCTCGTGATCCTCTGCATGGCTGACGGCGATTCCAAAACGAAGCCTTTCGAGATTTCCCTTCGAGAGGCCTCTAGTTTTCCACACTTAAATACTTAACCTTATTCACTAAAGCTGGAGATCGAGAATTACGACTACTTTACTACTCCGGACAGACAAACTTTTAATGACGGAAAGGAAAGAGAGGGAAGCGGTCGCTAGAAGAAGATCCGAGGTTTTCCCTCGTGATTCTCATAGGAGAAGACGCCGAACAGCAACCAGAAGAGCCTCGAGTAGTCGACGCTGAGCATGATCCACCCCATTTCCACCACGCCCCGGGAGAACTCGTAGTCCTTGTTGATCATTTGTCTTCTCGAGCGGACAGATGTTTCTCCTTCGCGATATATAGCAGTGACGACGACTGTGCACGGAGCGCCGAGCACAGTGCGGGCAACTAGATAAGTAGGGACCAGGAAGGGAAAACCCGGGACCGACAAGAAAGAAAAGAAAGGAGCTGCGGTCTGATCTGTGGACAAGGACAAAGTTTCGCGAGAGAGAGAGAGAGAGAGAGAGAGAGAGAGAGAGAGAGAGAGAGAGAGAGAGAGATCTTTGCTTATCGAGATCAGAAGAGGGAGTGATCGTTGAGGAGGAGATGGGTGCTGGGGATTCTGAACTTGAAGAACCTGTGGCCACGCTTTGGTAGCACCATCTGTGGACGTGAGAGGAATCGCCAAGAGAGAGAGAGAGAATCACCAGGAGGAGGGTGTAAAGGGAGAGAGATATGGTGGAGGGAACTGCAGCTGAAGACAAAAGACAGCGAGAGAGATGGTGGTGGTGGCACTGGTGGGGGAGAGAGTTGGAGTTGGTGGTGGTATTATTAGAAAGGCTTTTGCGATGTTTGCCAGGGGGGAGAGAATATTTTTTCTGAATTATTGGTTCTATGGGGGGCCCACGCATGACGTGGATTGCTGCATCAGATGAAGTCCTCTCCAATCTCACTGATTAGATTACCCCGATGGACGTTGACGTGACATGGGGGTATGGATCAAGAGACACTTCGCGATCACCGGACCACAAGAATCCGTCGCTCTCCACGACTCTGTCGATCGAAGTCTCGCCGCGTGTAGAGATGATTGTGTACCGATGAGTAAATTGCTACTAAACTCTTGCCTATTGATCCCCCCAATAATGAAGAATATCACCTTAACATTATCAAAGATTATGAAAGTCAAGGGGCAGTGGAATTTCGATACTTTTAGTCAATGACATTGTTGAAGTGTTCGGTGAATGTGTACTCAAAAGATCAAATATGCCAAATTTCTAGACCTAATCCTAGGACAAGCAATTTAGTCACTCACGGGTCAAATGGCCCTGAAGAGCGATTTTGGGCGAGTTTGGAAAGTGTTTTAGTCATAAAGCCTGGCCTAACCCGATGCGGCTGAGCCAAGCTTCGGGTTGAGTGAGAAGTTAGAGTTGATTATGGAATCCGATCAAGTTCTACTTGCCCAACTGAAAAGGAGCATTGGAAGTGATGAACCTTATTTACAGAATGTAACCAAGTCCAAGACCTTTCCATCGATTCTATCGAATCCTAATTAATCTTTGAGAAAGTGCAATCAAATTCCTTCAGTGGACAGCCCTCGTCGGCCTCGAGTGAGGCCCAGCAATGGCTGATGGAGGGAAGAGGAGAAAAAAAAAGTACAGAAAAGGGAAAAAAAGGAAAAAAATTAAAGAAGGAAAAGATAAGAAAATAAAAAAGGAAAAAATTAATAAAAAATTTAAAAAATATTATTAAATTGTCCACGTCAATATTAGCCATCTCACGTAGAATGGCTAACGTCCACGTTAGCGATTTCTGGTTAAAATTAGCCAGATTAACTCAATTGGCAAAATATGAAAATGTTTATTATTCGATTAGCACAATTAACATGTTTAGGACTGAATTGGTAAAAGTGCAATAAGTTTATAACTTTTTAGACAATTTTCCCGAGATGATTGTGTACCAATGAGTAAATGTAAGTTGCTACTAAACTCTTACCTATTGATCGAATGAGATATCCACTCAACAAAGATGAATATCACCTTAACATTATCAAAGATGACGAGGGGCAGTGGAATTTCGATACCTTTAATGGATGACATTTTCACAAAAAAGCTTAAGCATGATCTTGCTAACGTGTTCAATTGAACGTAAGTTTTCATTCAAAAGTTCAAATCAATGAGTATAGACCAATTAGATATACTCGACTGCTTCACATCGCATCAATTTTTCTCTATGGGATTCTTTCTCTCAACACTCTCACACATGTACCTCTTAATAATGAAACAAATCAATTGTAATTTAATGATGATGTAACATACAACAATAGCTCAAGATTATGTAATGATCATAAAAAAGGATTATTGGGACCATATGCTAGCTATCGCTTAATATTTGGTATGCACACTCATATGTTCAACTTGGCCGTAGGCCGTTTTGGGTATTGGTTTCTAAAAGAACTTGATTGCATTTTCCAAAAGATCAATTAAGATTCGATTGAACCGATTGAAAGATCTTGGACTTGATTACATTATATACGTAAGGTTAAGGACTTCCAATGCTCCTTTAAAGTTGGGGAAGTAGGGTTAGATCGGATTCCATTATTGCCTCTAACTTCTCGCTCAGCCCGGAGCCTGGCTTAGCCGCAATTGATCTAGCTCTTATGTGTTTTCTAGATGGTCTCCACATCGATTCTAAGTTTCATGCTAAAGTTAACGGAGGATCAATTTTGTAGTCATTAAGAATACCATGATCCAACTTTTATAACTTTTATCAAATGGTTAAACGACTGATTTGAATGCCATAAATATGACATAAAAATGGCAACATGTTTTACTCATATCGATCTCGATATACCTAACGTATATGAGCAGAGTGACTGCGTGAGTGGTCAAAGTTAGTCGAGCAAAGGGTTCGAATCACTCTAAGTTTCATTTAATGGTCGTTTCTTACTTTGTCACTAGCTTCCATTGCTTGTTACATCTTCACAAATTTTTCCTTTTGCACAGAATACACCTCCATAATTCAAATTGAGAACTTTATCTACCTTGATAATGACAATATAAAAAAAAAAATCTCGAATTTCCTGGCCCACGTTATCAAATGATGGCTCATTTTTTAAGTGGGAAAAATAGAAGGTGTCACCAGATACAGGTTTTAGCTCATGTCAACTGTTATACAGTGATTAACACATACTTTTATTTATTTATATATTGTCATATTTTTCCCCTTTTTTTTTCAATAATGTACGTATCTTGAATTGAAACTGGTTCAGTTTGGAATCGGGAATTCTAAGATAATCAAATCATTGACGAAGATAATGATGCAAGTGAGATAGACACCTATCGATGTGCGTGACGTCGAAGGTAACGACATGCAAGGCAATAAGTTAAGACGTGTCGCTTCGAAGCAGTAGCTAAAAATAATTTTCGAAAGACGTAATTGGAAATACCTTTCTTTTTCTTTATAAAAATAATTCCCGAAATAGGTCTCTCACTCAAACTAAGACTTCTCCATACCCCAGATTGCCTATAAATTGCCTAGTTATTAAAGAAATAATATTTTCAGCAACTTTAATTCTTTTAGGGTGCGTTTGTTTCACAGAAAATAAATTATTTAGAAAATATTTTCCTAAAAATGATTACTTGTATTACTTGAAATAATTAGATAATAAAAAATGTTTTCATTATCAGCAATAATTTATGTCTAAACACGTGAAAATATTTTTTCGTTTATTAATTTTTGTAAACGATACAAGCAATTGTTTTTAGGAAAATGTTTTTCAAATCATTCATTTTCCATGAAACAAACGGAACCTTAGTGTCATGTTTAGAAATTCCTGACCACGAGGATCTCCACTGTCGAATATTTCATTCAATTATAGTTTTCCCTCTTTATTTCATTTTTTTTTTGTTGAACTTTTTATTTCATCTTGACATTCTTCTCCTTCTTTTTTCCCTTACCTTTTTGGTCAGGACTATCACTTAATCGGTTGAAGTTGCTTGTCATGAAGTACTCAGATATTATGAACCAACTATATTAAAATATCATCACTTTGGCAAATTATATTGTTATGTAATATTGCATCATAACCAATTTTTTCCCTCCTAAAGTAGAACTGATGTTAATATGTTTAATCATTGCCTCAAATTACAAATGGAAAAATGAAAGTATGATAATATGGCGAACATCGTAGCTCATGAGGATGAATGACGGTTTACTAGTTACGTGTTTCATGACGGAAGAAATAAACAAGCAACACATATAAAGATTAAATTGGCAAAGATAAAACTAAATAAACGTTAGGGAAGCATGTGAAATACAATTTTTTCACATAGTACAGTGCACTTTTTTTCCTAATAGTTCTTTTAATAATTGGTGGATTTGGTTGATGGAGAAACTCCTTCCTAAAGAAAAAAATTGAAATGCAGGATGATAGTAATTAAAATCGATCGATTCTTGATTCATATCATACAAATCAATTCGAATTCTAAGCAATATATATTTATTAGGCAAGTCGCTAATCGCCCAAATTGCAAGCGAATATATCATTAGCAAATCTACAGTTCAAGTGATTAAAATGTTATGTCTATCTATCAAATGATGTAATTTTGCCAAACTTTGGATATATATATATATATGTTATACTTTGATAGTTACAAAATGATTGAAAGTAAATTTTGCACTTTACAATCCGATAATAGATGGAATGACATACAAAAATTTATGGTTTACATTTGCACGTAATCATTATTTCAATTAAAGAATGGAAAAATTAATATTCTCATGCATGGAAATCATCACATCTACTCAAAATTAAGATCTTTTAAGTCTTACTCAACAATTCATATTTTAGACTATTGATTACAAAAATTATAAATTTCTGAGACAGAATACTAATTTTAGTTATATGTTACTGAATCTTACATTTAGATTTACAATACGTAAACCCAACATTATGATTCACAAAAACTAGGATGTAACAAAAAAAAAATTATTGGTCATTTTTGTCTTTATCATCAATTATTGAAAAAATTACCAAAAAAGTTTTAAACCTATTGCAATTGCATCAATTTAGTCATAAGCCTTCTTTTTAGTCAATTTAGTCTTAAATCTTTTTGCAATTGTGTCAATTCAGTCCATTTGGCCAATTTTGGCTAGTCAACGCTAAATGTGGATGCCAATTGGCGCTAGCCATCCAGCAACAGTAACAGGGCAATTTGTAAATATTGTTTTCAAAATTTTTAATCTTTTTTCATTTTTTTTTCTTACGTCGCCGGCCACTAGTGAGGCCAACCTTGCCAGATCTAGCGAGGTTCGCCAGCCAGAGGAAGAAGGAAGGAAAAAAAGACAGGAACAGAAAGCAAAGAAAAAAAAGGAAAAAGAAAAAAATAATTCAAAAATAATTGAAAATTATCACGTCAACATCGGTTGGACGGCCGCTGCCAACCGGCATTCTTGTCAACACCGGCCGGCCAAAATTGATCGGATGGACTGAATTAACATAATTGCAAAAAGTTTACGACTAAATTGGCTCAAAAATAAAACTTTAGCATTGAATTGGCATAATTGAAATATATTTAGAACTTTTTTGGAACTTTTCCAAACAACTACATCCCTGTAAACATCTATATTCGAAAAAACTCATCAAAGTTTCAAACATGTCAGTTAAATTTGGCCAAGTTTCAAACATGTCTATTAAATTTGGCTGGATTTGATGTCGGAGGGACTTGATTGAAACATTTGTGAAAATAAAAAGAACTTGATTAAACAGATCTTGCATAAAAAAACGTGAAAGTATAGAGACGAAAAGTAGCATTTCCAAAAAGGGTGTTTGCACAAATTCAACAGAACCTGAGGCTGCAATGCGATGTCAAGTCCATCATGCTGCTGGGGACCTTCGTCTCTCCAGCATATTGTCCTGCTTCCACCCTTAGATACGCCATAACTAAGGGTGTCGGTGTGGGTACACTCGAGAGCACCCACGTACAAAATCAAGCCACGGCCATCAGAATGAAAATCTGGCTGAAGAATAATCAAAAGGTCTTGTTGAAGTGCAACTATGGAATGTGCTGGAAAATGATGCAAAAGGATATCTACCGTCTTGTAATGCTTCATGAAGATAAGCACTTGCTAAAGGTTTCATGTTCAGCCTTGTATCCGATGTCTTAAGACAAACATGCATCAGAAACTAGGACACACAGTAGTTAGCTTCTCTGTCAAAATCTAGACAACACAACAACAAAAAAATCAACATAGTAATTACTTAATGCTGTGTTTCGGAGTTGGGGTGGAGAAAAAAAGGGTGGAAATATGACAAGGTGACATTACAATCTTGGGGAATTGTCTACCTATTCCTTGCACTCTCCACAATTCGTACATGCAGAAGATTGGCAACCTGATGGCATGGGCTGGTCACACTGGGACAGATACATTGGCATTTATCTGTAGAGAAAACTTCTGCCTGTAGTGCACCGAACTTCGGACTACCAATAAGGTATTGTGGAAGGAGCAGCGGTGAAAAGTAGGCTTTTTCATAGCACAACCAAACCTACTGCGAACTCTTTCTGTGTCTCTTACAGTCTCCACTTGATTCGATAGTGTTGACTTGCTCATGGCTTCTAGAAGTAAGGGATCAGGATAAGTATCCTCCAAAGTCAAGGCCAACAGGCTCAAAGAAAAGGATGGTTTAATGATCCAGCAGGAGACAGAAACTCGTGGGCTGATCACCAGTCCGTCACAATCAGTAGGAACACATTGTTCTGTGCCATCTGCTTGCAGAGCCAAAGAAATCACGACACGATTTTTAGATTGCCTATGGCGCTCCTGGCACGCATCCCTTGTCTCGCTGTTTCAGTCCATTAGTATAAGGAATAAACTTGAGGTGCATGATATTCTTTACCCACTTGGGAATAGCATAGCATGCTGCTCGGAGAAGAGACTCAACTGAGGCACTTAAAGAATTTGTGGACTTCTAATTGGATAAACAAGCAACGCGTCCTCTTTTTTGTCTACGAAGTCGTGACAGCATTCCTAATTCTCATAGAGATCTCATTGATCAATTTCAGCTGTTAAAGAGAGCATCCTACCTTTCCATCCAGTCAACTCATCCAGCAACTCAAATGTGACTAATAGCTTCCTTTCCCTGCATATCACTTCAACTAAAAGGGACCAAAGATCAGGCTTTGGTGTAAACCCCAGCTCAACCAATCCAAATAATGCCTTGACCGTGTCAAAGGCCATTCCCTTCTTACAAAGGGAACTGAGTAATTCATTTGATGTTTCATAATGTGGAAGAAACCCTCTATCGAGCATCAAGAGCAACAACTCTGTTGCCTTCTCAAGTTCATCTTTCTGATACAAGCTATTTAACACAATTCTATAGCTTCCTTTGTTAAGATGAACACCTTCATAAGGCAATCTTTCAAGCATCTGCAGCGCCTCTGGAAACCTACCTTCTCTGCACAATCCTCCAAGTAGCACGTTAAAAGTAACAACATCAGCTTTGCACCCAATGTTTTTCATCTCTTTAATCAACTCCAAGGCCTCGTCAGTTCTTCCTGATCTGCAGAAGCTATTAATCAGAGTAGTGTACCCAACTGCATCAAGTTTCATACCCAGGTCCTTCATTTCCGCGATAACATCTTTGGCCTCCTGCAACCTCCCTTCTTTACACATCCCATTCATTAAGGTTGAAAAATTGTAAACATTGGGATTACACCCATTATTTCTCATAAACTCTATTATCTTTCTTGCCCCATCAACTTTTCGACTTTGACAAAACCCGTTTATCAAAACATTATAAGTCAAGGCATCAGGAACAATCTGGTCCTTGGCTATCATTTCCTCAAACAATTGGAGAGCATCTTTGACCCTCCCGCTTTTGCATAGACAATCCATCAGGGTGGAGTAAGTAATCAAATTTGGGTAAGAACACTTTGACATCTTCATCTCTCTCACAACTTCAAAAGCAGATTCGATGTCTCCATTTTTGCAATGATGCTTAACGAGGATATTAAAGATGCATGTATTGGGCCTCAATTTTAGAACTTTCTTTGAATGCAAGAGAAGCTTCTTGGCAAGGCCAATCTGATTTGACTCCACCAGACAATTAAGACAAGTACTAATGGCTTTCAAAGAGGGCTTTTCACGAACAATTAGATAAATCAAATGGAACATGTCGAGCACTTTTTCATGCATGTGTGCTCTCGAAAAATGCTTCATGAGAATGAGGAAGATGCCCTCATGGAATTTGCATGTCTCGTAGGTCATCTGTTGAAGAATAGCATCAACAGCCTGAAATTTGTTCGAACGAGCAAGCTTGTGAAGTACGGTTGCAAAAGTGGCATTGTTGTGGTTGAAACCCTTTTGGTTTGCTACCATGTTGAATATGTCCAGTGCCCGTTGTGGATCTCTCTCACGGTCGATCAAGTTTATGGCATCTTGGTGAGATATTGATCTGGATTTTCTTTGGGATTCCACGAGGATGTTTGAAGAAGTAGGGGGAGGGCATGGCTCGGATGAGGAGGTGAATCCTGGAACTTGAAGAGGAGATATCCATGGGAAAGAAGATGAGGATGTCGCAGAAGAAAAGAAGATGCTGCGATGGTAAGAGAAAGGAAGTTTGTTGCAATTCATAAAGATTTGGTGCACTGTCCATGATTTATGCACTACCATAGTCGAATAACCAGATACTTCAATTTGCGTGGCTTGCTAGGCTTTACCCAAGTAAGGACAAACCCAATGCTGCGCTACATGGAAAAGAATGGGGTCTCTAAGGACCATTTAAGTATCAGAGAATCAAGGGATGAAGCAAATCTGTATCCATAAAGCAGAGGAGTTTCATGAATACCATTGGCGAAAAGCAAGGTGGATTACTCCAGCAAGAACATCAGCATTAGGAGGATTCTACAACAAACAAAAGAGCACCAGTTTACCTCTAGCATTCAACCAAAATGAAAGAGCTTAACAGACACCAATTACTCATTCAAAGCACACTAAACTCACTCTGTTGCAAACCCAAGAAATCCTTAATGCTAAAAACAAGAAATAACGTGCAAGGTAAATCACAGAAATGCAGATAAAGTAGGCCCAACAGAGGAAGATAACTTGACAGCATTAGGAGGCACGCCATTCTTAGGCTTCATTTCCTTCGACAAGGGAACAAAAGATCTTACATTTTAGCACCCAGAAGCCGCTACACTCACCAATTCATGATCAAAACTCAAACCCCCACACCAATGTCATGCAAATTTATCGACTTTTTAGTAGAAACACGTATGGGCAAGATTGAGAAGCCGCTGGATGCAATTAAGAAAACGAATCCATGGACGATCAACAAAAGGGTATGTCGAATACGTAGCATCACTGAATAATCGTCCGAAGAGAAGGACTTACGGCGGCGGAGGAGGAGGAGGAGGAGGCTCCTCTTCGGTGGCTGCCAAGGCGGTGGAGGCGGCCAGTCGGCGGAGGAAGACATCGGTGGACTCCCATGGCCGCGGCGGAGAGAGAGAGAGAGAGAGAGAGAGAGAGAGAGAGAGCAGGGGAGGGGAGGCCACGCTGCAATGGAAAAAGATATGAATAGGGCAATGTGATGGTTCTTGTTTTTATTCCTTAAAATTCATAACTCAAGGTAATAGCAAAAATTTTATTGTTTCCACCAAAAAAATTGAAATTGTAATGAAGTGATGAGTTTCAAATATTATTTATAAAAAAAAAATTTGATCCAGCAAATTGTTTATCCTATTATAACATTATTAGTTTACCACAAATTACATGAATTTAATAGAATCTGTTTGTAAATTATCGATTTTTCAAGATCTCACATGAAATCGCCAATATTTATTTGAGTGGCTCGCCAACTCGACGATAATTAAGTTACCAATTAATATCGGGTTACTGACTCTTCTTTGAATTAGTTGCCGACACTAACCTGGTCACTTGTATACTACCAACTTTTTAATTATGTGTAAAGTTTCACTTTCATAAATTATCAAAAAATTTTAGTTGTCAACTCTTATATCAAATAACCAATCATAATTTGAGCAATTTATAAACTTCTCTCCGATTAAATTATCAATGAATTTAAAGCCACTCATTTTTATTTGAGTTACTTAATGACGTTCAAGTGGTTGTTTGTAAATTAGCAGCTTTCCTAATAACTTAACTTTTATTTGCAGAACTTTCCAACGTTTTAAATTTACCAACCCTTTGAGTGACTTACTAATAAACTGTCCATTAGTTCTATGTTACCAACATATATTTGAGTTACTAAAATTTATTTAATTGTTTATAAATTATCAACTATATTGATAATTTGCTTTCACTTGTGTTATTGTTAAATTCACCGACTCTTATTTCAAAAAGCCAACTTTTATTTGAATGACTAACTAATTTTCTCTGATAAAGTTTCCAATTAGTATGACATTGCGCGAAAATCTAAACATTGCAATCTTCTTATCATCGATTGAATTAGTCTGTGGGCAACTGAAAATATCAACATCTGAAGAAAATATATTGAATAACCAGAAAATATCTTCACATAAGCTCAGGGTCTGGTTCTATACATAACTACATCTTCACTCCATCTAATTGAGTAACTAGCGTATAAAATCAGAAGATGAACCAGAGTGAGTTGCCAAATTCCTGGACACAATATTAACTGTACATGTATTACAGGTGAAGCCTCACTATTTGCTCTTTGCCTGGGCCTCGGTCGCATCACTGGTTCTTTGCATCTCCACCTCCTTCGCCGCGGACCTCCACTTGGTGTACTTACCGAACAACTGTTCTGTCTCCTCCAGCGACCGTCACTTCGTCTCGGGCATCATCGTATAAAAGAGCACTCGCACGATAGCTGAGAACAAGAAGGCGGCCCCATCGAGGGTGATCGCCTTGTACATCATTAAGTATGTCATCAATAATACTATACTTACTACCCTGCTTCACTACGACGCCAATTGCGTACCCCTATGCACGCAGCCTCAGAGGGAAGATCTCCAAGCTATACATCGATGTGATCGGCCCCATCACGATGGAGAAGAAGACCGCGTAGGAAAACACAGAGGCAATGCACATGGTCATCGCACACATGAGTTTTGTATGGCTGAGGTCAATGATGTTGAGGCACAATCCGAGGAAGGTGAGCGACAAGACCATCCCACCGATTCTACTCAACAACAAATGGCCACTGTCCAACCCGATCAAGGAGGAAGGTGGTGAGGAGGATGAACACTATCTTTACGAAGTTGATTGCGATGATCTCGAGGAGCTTTTCGTTGGAGGAGATAATGTCGGCTTTCTCAAAAATGCGAGGGCTGTAGGGTAGTATGATGTCGATGCTAGAGGCCTGTTGGACGAAGTGGATCCTAACGGCGTAGATGAGCACAGGGCGGACGGACGGGGTCAGGTGGAGGAGGAGATACCACCACACACCCTCCCGGTGCTCTGCTTGGTGTTCTTCTACTCCTTATTCGTATAGACGCAGCAAAACCTCCCTACAACTTTCAGTTTTGCAAAACAGATAGTCATTTTGGTTTCGCGGTTGTCGTTATACTCTTCTTCGCTTAGTCCTTTGCTAGAATTATGGAATATGCACAGCGCGTGCACGGTGCATGCATGGCGTCTGCACGGGGCGTGCAGGGCAATGCGCAAAGAATCGTCACCGCCGGCAGCCCCAAATCCACCAAAAGAACACGCCTCTATATCCCTTGATCCTCCTCCATTTCGCCAAATCACGCTTACGCTAGAGGAGAGGCATTTTTGCCATCCTCTTTTTCTTCTCCTCTTTCTTTGTATAAACGCAGGAGGAACTCCCCGTAACTTTTATCTTCACCGAGTTGTGCCTAAGCTTCACCATCGTCTTGCTCTACTCCTCTTTCGTATAGACACGGGAGGAACTCCCTGTCACTTTCATCTTCGTCGAATCGTGATTGAGCTGTATTTGGTTGTTTCCTAACTAATTAGTGTAACTTATTAACATTTTAAACTTAGGAACTCTTATATCGAATTAACAATCTTAATTTGAATAACTACCAACTAAAGGTACTCAAGGCTAGGCTTGGGTCCATAAAGGCTAAACTCGAGACTCGAGTGCTCGTGACTGAGTCCTCGACGGCCATGTCAGGTACCGACTTCTGCGCCCAAGTCACCAATGGCCGGGCTTAGGTCCATCAAAGCTGGGCCCAAGTCCACTGAGGTCAGGCTCGAGACCCCGATGCCCATTACCAGGTTTCTAGTTTCGAGTGGCCAGGCCCAAGTACTTGGCTTTCACACTCAAGTCACTATCAATTGAGGCTAGGTCCACAAAGGTCTGGTCCGAGACCCTAGTTCGGTTCTCAAGCCTGGGTCAATAGAGGCTTGGCTCGAGACCCCGGTGACAATGCCCAGATCCCCAACGACATGCTTGGGTACCCGGCTCTCATGCCCAAGTCACCGGCGCCCAGGCGCGATTCATCGGCAACCAGGCCCAAGTCCCTCAAGGCCTCGATGTCCATGCCCGGGTTTTCAACGGTGTGCCCTAAAACTCGGCTCTCTTGTGCTTAAGTCACTGTCGCCCAAGGTAGGGTCCACAGAGGTCAAACCCGGGACCCTCGTGCTCATGCCAAAGTCCCTAACAGCCATGCCTGCCAGGGACCTGGCTCCTTCGCCCAAGTCACCAATACTTGTGCCCGAGTCTATGATGCCCGTGCTCGGCTTCCTAGCGGGTGGACTCGAGAAATCCTAACTCCTGCGATGGGGACCCCAGCGATCGAGTATCCTTCATATCACACAAATAGCGATAGTGAGGGGTCCGTGGGCCCAAAGAAGCGGTGAAGATGGCAAGCGGTGGTCAACTCACACATGTAAACAGAAGCTCCAGTGCAAATCCAATAGAAGTGCCCTCCTTTGTTGGTTAAATCACAAGTTCGGCCCAGCCATGGGGCAAAGGAGAGTGGAGAAAGCGACATTTACGCTTCTTTGTAGATGGGAAAAGCGATACGGCACGCCTTGCGTGTTCAATTTCATCTCCAGCAAAGTCTTGAACTCTATCGATAGCTCCTCCATCTCACATGAAACACATGTGATATGTTGTACTAGATCTAGATCAGAATGAAGCTCTGTCATCTGAAAGCGAAGTTAAGTTGAATTCTTAGGCAATCTGAAACTAAACCCTTCTAATCAGCAGATTGCTTCCAACCTCGTAACTAACCTCTTCCAACCCCTTTGCTAATACACCCTTACATAATTGTTTGTTCTGTTCCATTCATATTTCGCGATAAACACGGTGTCCTGAATTGGCTCTCACGCATCGCCCTCGTAAGAATGAAAGATTTGAAATACTTCTTCGAAGGGGGGCTTGGTGCTTGACGCATTTTGCATTGCCGAAATAAAGCAGGACATCCGAACTACATTCGCCTGAAGAGATGTAAAGGGACTATGAGCCTGTTTGGTTCAACTTTGAAAATGCTACTTGGGGGAATGCAAATACCTTTGAGTAAAAGCCCATTGGGCAAATGTAAATGGTATTTGGTAAAAATATTTTGTAAAGCTACTTTGGCCAAAATATAGTGTTTGGTGAATTTTTTTTTGCAAATGGACTTTGAGAATTATTTTATTTATTAAAAAAAAAACAAAACCTACCGTCGCCGGAGCCGGCGGCCGGCGAGGGCCTACGGCCGGCGGCGGCGGCAGATCTAGCTCGCCGGCGGTCGCCCGACCTCGGGCTACCGCCGGCGAGCCCAGATCTGCCGCCGCCGTGTCGCCCGAGGCCCAGCGACCCTCGGCGAGGAGTCACACGACCCAGGCGACGGCCGCTGGGTCGGGCGACTCGAGCGGCCGCTTTGGCTCGGGCGACCTCAGCGGCCGCCGCACGAGGTCGCGCGACCCAGGCGCGTCCGTCGCCCGGGTCGCGCGACCCAGCGGCCGCCGCTGGGGACTGGCGTCGCCGGGCGGTCGCACTGGCGGTCGCCCGACCCCAGGCGACCTCGCCGGCTGCCTGGTGAAGAACAGATTCAACCCAAAAAAAAAAAAAAAAAGTGAACAGTAGCATTTGTGGAATGCTGAAAGCCCAAGGCTGGTCCGGACCAGCCTTGGGCTTTCAGCATTTGGAATGCTAGCATTTGGCCAATGCTAGGCCAAATGCTGAACCAAACACATCAGCATTTTGGGAAGGGGCTTTCGAGGCTCAAAGCCCCTTCCCAAAGCTGAACCAAACACCCCCTATGTATACTTCAATTTCCCTACTCAAAAGCAACTGTCCAGAAGTCAATTATGACAACATATACAAGATATGCCCGGTTGGTCCGACAAAGGAACCGGTTTTCGTCATAATTGCATCAGACATCAGGAACAACAAGTGCACCGATATGGCATTCACCTAAACATACAACGACAGTACCTGAATCCAACCACAGAGCTCAAGCACCCTATAAAATTAAGTGTAGCACGTGACGTGAGGCTAACATAGAACCTAGCCCAAACCAAAAAAAAAATTTGGCGAATGTTACAAAAGCCTCTAGATCACACGGCCGATACAAAACTCATAGGGCCAACATCAGATGGTTCTGAGGAAACCACGAGACCGAAAGCACAAACTCAGACTAATCGGTTTAGCATTTACAATCCAACCAACTGGAACTGGGTTTGAACCATACATACAGCTCATCCTTTCCCCGCGGACTCTGACAAAGGTGGGAAATCATCTTCATCTTTTAAATGGTAAGACTGTAGAGAGATCCTGCACGTAACAACCAAGGTAATTAAAAAGATTGTAGAGTGCATCAACGACCTGATAAACGACTCAAATGCATTAAGCTATTGGTTACCTATCTGGTTTCAATCCATTAACCGATGGCCATTCAGTTGCAGCACCTGGTGTTGAATGGCTTGCGCTAGTTCTCGGAAGTGGTGCTGATACAGAGATTGGTTGCCTACCTCTCTCCTGGGACAGGGACGGAGGTGTTGCTAATGGTTGATGTCCAAAAGAACCGAACTCAACTGAGCCTTCACAAGGTTGCAAAGATCCATTGCTAGTAGAACAAGGTTTTCTTATAGGGGAACCATTATTTGAATCAGGGGGCCAAGACTTCCCGTGCATTTGTGAAAACTCATTACTTCGTTCAGAGAAATTTGTCTCCAAGGGAGTCAAAGTGCGGCCATTGCTGCGAGGAGACCTCACCGGTGCATAATTTCTTCCCCTTCCCATTGAATTTCTATCCTTGTAGTGGTTCTGCCAGAATACATCACATAAAACTGAGAAGACAATAGACAGCTGTTTCACGAACTCAAAGTACCAGAGGCTGCAGTCAGATGTCAAGTCAATAAATCTACCCGACACTTAAACTGTCCGAACCAACTCTTGATTGGGGCCAACACAATCAGTCCGCATGCGGTATGACATGAATAATAGTCAGTTGTGGCAATGGCATCTCAACATTGAGGATGCTATGTACAAGGTGCAAACTTTGAATATATATGAGCAAACCCCAGGGGCATCAAGTCTAAATGCTTACATGCATCAGAACGAGGGTACCACAGAAAACTCCAATATCATAATTATTGGGAGGCCAAAGGAAACATTACCGTGTTTGGGAAGTACGTTCCTGTTCCGCGCGGTTTTGACATTTCTTCCATGCCGTTAGCTACAATTGGCGACTTTACGTTATATAATGGTTGCCCTGTGACAGAACCATTGGCACTTATCTGAGAAAAAACATCATGCCTGTGGTGCACTGACCTTCGTACCACTTCCCATGGATTTTTTACTGGAAACTGTGAAAAGTATGATGGAGAAACGTGAGAAAGTTGTCCACTCAAGGCGTAATTATGGCACCACCGGCCATAGTGCAAACTCCTCATGTTGCTCTCATGGTCTCCACTTAGGTCCGATAGAGAATTCAGTTGTCCAGTGCTTCTAGAAATATGAGATGAGGCTTGAACACCAAGATAGCCAGAATAAGTATCGTCAGATGTCCAGGATGGACTTAAACCTGAAGAGAGCTTTTTTGATCCAGCAGGGGACGGATCAGCAGGACTTCTACTGACCTGATTCTCATCCCAGTTGCGATCAGCAAAAACACATGGTTCTGCAGCATCTGATTGCAGAGCAACAGAAGTCACCACGGCATTTCCAGATTGTTCAGTGTACTCCTGGCCAGCATCCCCATTTCTTGTCTCCCCTGTCTCTATTGATGATTGTGGAAAATAAAGATGAGGAGCATGATATGCTTTACCCGACAGGGATGAGTGTACTGAGCTGCTCAAAGACGAAGCCTTAAGCAAGCCATTTGATTTGACGGAACTTTGGGATGTAGCAAGCTCATTTGCTTGACCAGAAGAAGACGAAAGAACATCTGACATAGGGGAATTTGTAGGATTCTCCACTTCTATGATTCCTGAATATCTTGCAGAGCCTTGCTGCACTTCATTCAAAATTCTACCTGATGAATCTTCTTCCCGAGATATGTCAACATTATTATGTCTTGATACTGGTATTGAGTCCTGAACATCTGGCCGCTGACCATTTCCATGCCGATCCAGTGTGTTCGAGAAAATTTCACTAAGCTCATCAGCTATGTCCATCTCTGGGTCAGACAGAACTTTTTCAAGCTTACGAACACCAAAAGAAAAGGCACTCCTAATTCGGAAAAAGCTCCCTACGTAGTTCAAGAAAGATTAAAATTTGTCATCATGTGCAAGAGTTAACAATGATGCCAAAATTTAAAGAAGTATAGCCAAAATAAATAGCTACACCAAACTCTGCATCGTAATAAATATTACCTATGTATTTCCTTAAGAATACATTCTACCTGGCAACTAATTTTGACGAGCTTTTCCTTCATGACTCAATGGAAAATTACATATACTGGTCATGACTCCCCATCATCCTCTGTATGAGCTTCAATTTATTTCCTTTAAAGGAGAGCTAACCTTTGACAACGTCAATACCATAACTACATTTAACTAACTCAGAAATATAAACCTGTACCAATTTGCAATTTGCAATTTGCAATATGCTACCGCTTATCAACAATTTTGAAGCATATATCTAATTATCAACCATTCTTCCCAGCTTCAGACAGTTTATCCCCCTCAAGCAGCTTAGCCAAAATCTCTTGAACATATGACCAGGAGAAAAATGACGCCAGGACATAACTTTCACCTTAAAAAAAAAGAACATAAAGAAGGGACAATTGATCAGCCCTGACAAGAGCCTATAAGACCAATACCTTTGCTTACACTGCGCCCAAGGTTGTTGTTCTCTCTCAGCGGATCAACTATATTAAGATGCTTTGAAACAAACGTCCGGGCATTGGCTCCAAATCCATTTGAAGGGATAGAGAACTGTTCCACACAGTCCTTAAGGAAATCCTTACCGAGCAATAGCTCTCCACTATGTTCCAGTGTCTCAACTGTAAAAGGAACCAAAAAGTTATCTCAAGAGCACGTGAGAGACACCTATCTTGCACAAAATTGGTGTACAGTATAGCTTACCAACAATTTCTGGTAATGATGAGATAAGGACAGGACCATTCAGACTGACACCGTACTTATCCCAGTCGAACTTGCTATAGTAATCCAAAAATTTGTATAAAACCTAACATCACCACAAATAAGTATAGAAATAACATCAAAATATATACGGCATTCTGCAAACAATCCAAATCATCGACCTTACCGCTAGGGGACCATCTAGAGATGAATGGAACAGATGGAAGATATACAAAACCAATGTCTCCAAGGCATATGTGGAAATCAAACCATGATGAGCACCAAGTATACGGCTCTCATAATAGCACCAAGCCTTAACCAGTATAATGCTCCGTTTAAAGAGGTGATCCTTGCCAATGAGACGATCCACCTGTAGAATATGAAGCAGCACAAATGTTGAATGTTGATTCCTCCATTGTATTCAAGACGAAAGAAAACAAAAAACAAGAAGATTGCTAACAATACAAGTTCCTCCAGGGCACAGCATACAAACAAGACACACTGCAGTAAATCACACTAACATTTATAAAAATATGATAGCACCTACATAGGAATATTTAGTAGTCTTACAACCTCAATAAACTGGTCACACCGATATGAGTAATGCTATTGGTCAGCGAAACAAATCCAGCTGGAGAGACAAACATCTGTGCATGCCACCACATACATGCAATAAGTTTATACGTGTGAGTCCGCAGTTGCCTACACATGCTTACTAATGTCCGCATGTAGTCATGTTCATGTGCAAATAGATGCAAACAGAAAGAAACAGAGATTTCCTGCAATGCCTAGACATTGACACATATATAGCTACATTTTTTTTTTCTTGATAAAGTCAGAATTTATTTAAAGGGAAAACTGGAAGCCATGTAGTAAAAGAGAAACAATCTGAGACAGCTACTGACTCAAAAATGATAAAAGTGCAAAGAAGCCTAAAAAAATATGCAATCCAATTCCTAGCACCGCGAAAAAGACTATTGCAATTGACCAACCACTATAAGACTCCAATGGTCATCCTTAAAAATAGGAAATTAACAACAAGGTACGGAACATCCACAGTAATAATAAATGGCACATCTTCTAGCTAAGCAAGATTTTCAGTATCAATCAGGCCGTCATTGCCACCACCCGCAAAGAAATAAGAAGAACTAGTTGAAGGAAGACATTGAGAGTCACTTAAAAGTAGCAAGATATGAATTAAACAAGCTACCTTCTCGAGAAAGCACAAAGTACAGAGCCCTCCTAGCTGATTAAACGATATATCTACCACAATATTCTGTATGATGCATTTTACAAGCTTGACCTGCAATCGGAAGATTAATTGTTAATCCAAAAAACATCACTTTCATCAAAATAATTGATAGCAACTGGACTAGGTTAGCACACAATTGATATCATCATGGAGAGCCAATGGCACATTTGCAAAGAGCACATAAAATAACAAATCAGCATTCATGCATGACATAAAAAAGAATAAAGTAAAATGAAGAGAGGTGAAATGACACCCTCCGAGTCTTGTTCCCATGTGTAACATATACTCCTGTAACTTCAGCTCATTGAGCAGCAATGAGAGCAACTGTTACACAGTAGAAGTAGCAATTACCTATATTGTATCTAGGATTGCCGTTGGGATCTAATACAAAGCAAAGACTGTTTGGTACCCCATGATCCAGAGATTTGAGAAGAGTTTTAAGTGTGAAAAAGATGGTTTATTTATCTAAGGGAGGTAGACTTACCCTGTTGAAGTGCCTGCTTTCTATTCTCCAATTTTACTCTCTTTGTTTCCAACTCTTGTCTCGATGGGGGAAGAACATGAAATCATGAAGAAAAGGTTGTTTATGGAGACTTGAATGATAAGCCGAGATTTCATCTAGTTACTTGGACAATCGTAATACAACTAGTTTCAAACGAAGGGTTTGGGGTGAAATCACTGGTCTCTTTCAATAAATCTTTGCTTGGAAAATGGCAGTGGAGGTTTAACGCGGAGAAAGATAGTTCATATAGAGGATACTGTTTGACAAATTTGATTTGGAAGATACGAGGAGGATAATTGTGTCGGTCAAGGAGCACATGGGTTTGGCATTTGGAAGCACATAAGGCAAGGATGGGATGACTTCGGCCACAAATTCTATTAGAGCGGGAAATGGTACGAATACTATGTTGTGGGATTATAGATGGTGTGGTGACAGCCGCAACACAGCCTAGAAAGATCTTCTTCAGATGTGTTTGCATAAGCAAGGAACAAGAGAGTTTATGTGGCTGATCAATTGAAGGTTGACAATGGAGAAGTGGTGTCAGAGTTCACTTTTCAAGTAGGGCCCCAGATTAGGAGCTTGTAGCTTTCTCAAACTCTTTTGAGTAGTTGCATCAAGCGACACAAGATCTGGGAGAGGACAATAGGCTACAGAAGAATTGCTGCAGTTCTCTAATTTCTTTTGTCAAATCCTACCATTCTAATCTCATCTCTACTCAATTTAACTCAAATTTTTTCACATTCTTCCCATGAAATTCTATTTGGAAAGTCAGCCTACCTTTGAAGGTGTCTTTTTCTCTCTTGGGAAGCACCCTGGGGACATACCCTCACTTTGAAGAGTCTTCAAAAGACAGAGCTGGTGAGTAGATGTTTTATGTGCAAGAATGAAGGAGAGAGCGTGACTCACTTATTGTTACATTGTAGTTGGACCAGACATTGGACAACGGATTCTGCACTTTCAAGAGTAAATTTAGTGACTTCAAAAACGATGCAACATGATCTTTGGCTTCAGGAGGGACTAGCGCTGGAAAGAAGAGAATGACTCATATGATTCATCTCCTCGAGGCTCATTTGGATAAGAAAATTCGAAGGGGGAATTTCTAAGAGTTGAATCCTCTTAGGAGTGTTTTTAGGGTTATACATCATTCACTTTTAGTATAGCAGGCAAGTTCAATTTCATACTTCTAGTTCGTCGAAATGCGAGAAATGGTCTTTCGTGCATATTTTTGGTTTAAATAGTGCCTCACTGGTGAAAGGTTCCCTTTACCAATTTATTCATGCATGAAATTTCAGCCAACCACACACACAAAGCACATCAACAATAGTACTCTAAGCTAAATGAATCAATAAACAATTATACTCCTTGTTCAACCTTTGGTTTTCCCTTCTACCTAGATTTCTTGCAATAACTAACGACAGCAGCGAAATCCTAAGTAAAACCTTTACTTGACTAAAAACCACAAACTTGGGATAATAACGTTGGAGTCCTTTTGGTATGGCTTAGCTGTGCTGTAATTGAGTTGGACTGTAAACATGTTGTACTGTGTTGTAGCGTCTTTGGCAATTCATATTTTACAGATAGTGCAGCAACTTCCTAGAAGCTGGGTCCACCAGAGATGCTGCAATTGTTGCGTGTACCCCAGAAACTTTTTGAAAAGCTTAAGCACCCAATTTCATAGTTGTAGCTGCTATGAGAAAGCTCAAACACCCTCTTTGATAAGGTCAACTACATATGAGTATTCACATTACTATGACTTCGTTCTTCTGCTTTCCATTTTTAGTGAAAGCTACAAAATATTTGACGAAGGAAGGAGAAAAAGTTAGTTTAATAGAAGGCATATAGCCAAAAAAGCCACAATTGCAAAAGTGGCCTCACTAGTGAAAAAAGCTTAATCATTATTAGTAATGTGTAACCACAGAACAGAATTACTAAAAACACAAGACAGCAAAAAAGAAACAAAAAAAAAAAAAAAACTAAGAAAGACACTGTCATGTTGGAAATATTGCATCACCAATCAAATAATTTTGATACTTGAGATAACCCCATAATTCTAATTGAGAGAGAACCAGTATGATCAATCATTGAAGCAAAACACAAGCCACCAACTACAATATCTGTTTGACATCAATCATTACAACCACTGCATATTTCCCAATTATCATGTAGGCTCATAACTTAAAAAAGTCAGTTGTAGTGTCACCCCAACAACTTAAGGAGGTCACTAGTCAGTCCATTAATAGCGGACAAAAGTTGCAAGAAAACCAAAGGTGCAAAGATACACATATTCTTTGGCGACACCAAACTTTAACCTACCTTCCCCAAATAAAAGGAAATCAAACTATGATAATGCAACGTAATTCAATAACAAACTCAATGCAGAGATACAAAGATATCAAGTAAGAAGGGAAAAATGATGACCTAGAAGGAGCTGAAGGAAAGGAATAAAAAGCAAAATGAACGACCACTGAATGATGTGGGTGAAAAGATCAGGATTCGGCTAATTGTGAGAAACTCCAAGCGGCAATTTGAAAGTGCATCAGAGGTAATAAAGATTTTCTCTACCAGTTCTGTGTTGCTTTAAATATTCAAAAAGAAAGAGCGGGGCTCAAAAGTTAAAACACTAAACTGAAGCAGAAAATGGACAGCTAACCTAGTGCGGTCAAGGGAAAGAATAAGGTGCATTCGAGGAAATTACAGCTTCCAAGTTCCGACACAGGCAGAGTGATGATAAGCATCAAGTTTTGGCTGATGTAATTACAATAACACTTTTTCCTTGTAAAAAAAGAAAACTTTCTTTTTTGATAATAAACTATTAATGATGTAAGCAAGAAAACGAAGCGGTACACTTCACGTGCTCTGGAACTATACCAAATAAAAAAGGATAAATATGCTCATCGCTCTGGGGTAAACACCAGCCTTCTACGATTAAAACCACTTCTTAAGAAACAAATGTTGGCCATGTGCCTGAAATCTTCCCAGTTGGTTTGAGCTTATGCACATTCTTGAGGGAGGATTAATAGAAAGGCCAAAATTGGCAAGGAATAATATCAAGCACGTGCATAAGCTCGTACCAACTGGGAAGATTTCAGGCACATGGCCAACATTAGTAGACGTTAATTTGTTCCATCATCACAAGTGAGGTGATCGTGCAGTTCAGGTTAAACACATCATAACTTTCCAGATGTAAGACAAATATGACTCATGCTAGCTTTCATAAGCTAAACATGATAAGAAGTTGCTGACAATTTTTAACATGAAAGATAACATTTAATAGTTTTACATTAGATTTACTCTAGCTACATTCAATGATTTACCTATTTAGTTTATTAAAAAGAAAAAATTATATAAGAAAGCCACAACTTCACTCGGCCAGGCGCTACGTGTTCTTTATGTTGACAAAAAGAGTCAAGGAGTGAGGTGCTCAGCTAGCTAATGAATTGCCATCTCAAGCTCATTCCAAGTCTACCCTTTTCCTAAAATCATTTCAAACAATTTAGACTTATTTTGACTCTCATACTCTCTTTCTACGCCTCCTCTACTCACAGTTGCGGTCCTCTCGAATGCAAGAATATTGAATCAGAGAGATCACTAAGCATTAAATAGAGAAACAGCACATTTCATCATGTCAACCAGACATTAAAAACCTAGAAGTGCAGCATCCTTTCAAGAGATTGGATTAAGTATAAGAACCTCGGCCCAAATTAATTGGACGTCCTTCACCACAAACTTATCCTTTCCATTCTGTTCTTCTCCTTGAAGAACTGAACAGACTTGACCAGCTAAGGAATCTTCCGCATGAGGACCCCCGAAGGCAGTCAAATCAATATCTCCGTCAGGAAGATACGTCTTTAAAGGAACCGAACCAAATGGAAATACCTGTAAGAAGAGCCAGTTTTATCTCAACAAAAACAAAAGAAAGAACCGAAGATGGTCATGTACTTTTAAATGTGAAAATTATCATCAAGCTTGCCACACTTTGGTTAAGTGCGTTTAACATGCACAAGATTGTCTGATCGAAACCAAACGGTAGTAAGACTAACAGAAAAGAACATGCACACCCATCAACCATGGGAAAGTAGACTAACTACACTCCGTTCATTTCATCACCCACCTTTGAACCTGAAAGATTGAAAAGCCGTCCGACTAAAATCTACAATTGATGGTGAAAATTGCAAGGTCAGTATGCAACCTATAATTCCTTACTAACAAAACCAATTTTGCATAACCGTCAAAAGAAACGGCGAACTTTAATCTATTGAACACAGCAGGCATTCAATATACTCTAAAATGAGGGATTTTGGTCAATCCGAACATCCACCGCACCTCACTAACATAGCCACTGCAGGAGCTTAAAAGACAAATTCTTCGGACAAGAGAAATCAGAATTCTTCGCACGAAAAAAAAAATTGAGCGATTTTAACTTTGACGAGCTCAATAAGCAACATTTAGCACGCAATTCATCTTGCTGATTTCATCTCAAGAACCTTAAAATGCATGAACTCTAAGAAAGTAGAATCATCACGAGTGATCATTCACCACAACATCGTTCCACCCGCCGAACGGAGCCAATGCGACAACCAGAACAAAACTGCACACAGACGAACACCTGCAAGGCGTGTTCACGAGTACGGGGCACCGCCATAACCGTACCTCCAATCCGAGACGATCCCTGATGAGACTCTGCACGTAATGAATCACATCTGCTCGCCTCTTCTCCGACGCGAGATTCGATTGAATCTGGGCGATGATCTCCCAGGTGAACTCCTCGGCCTTCCGCAGGAGCTCGTCCCTAATCGCCGCCTGGCTCGTCGACGGCGACCTGTCTTCCGAGGCGGCGGCGCCGTTGGCCTCAGGCGACCAAGCTCGGAGATCGCCCATGGGAGTGCCGAGAGAGCTCCGTTTTCGTCGACGAAGCGAGAAAACCGCAAGCGCCAAAAGAGGAGAGAAAGAGAACAAAAAAAAAAAAATCCCTCGCAAACGGACGGAGAGCCTCCGCCAGAAAGAGAGAGAGAGGAGGACCGTTTCAAAGGCGCTCGCCGGAGGAGGACGAGGGCGGCGGCGGCGGCGGGATGGCGGCGGGATCGCGGCGGAGGGGGCGGCGGAGATTGGATTCCGGGATCGGGAGAGGCCGATCAGCACGGATCGATCGAGGGCAGACGGGGGATTCGATCGAAAACTGGTACACGAAGTGCAGAGAAACGCCGAATGTGAACTGCGAGTGGTTTTCTCGTTTTTCTTTTTTTCTTTTTTTAATTTATTCACCGGGGGAGGTTTTCATTTTTATGGATCGAAAAGTTTTTCTTTCTCTTTTTTTTTTCTTTTTTTCTTCTTCTCTTTTAAATGTTTTGTTCCCCCCACCCCTCCTTTTTTTTTTTTTTTCTAAATAGGAATGTGTTGGTAATAAATGATACGGCCATAAATAAAATGTTGCGTATGATTTTTATTTATCGGGCAAGTTTATAAATATTGGTGACTAAACTGTCGATATATTCCTCTTCTCTCTGTCCCCCATTTATGGCTTTTCAATTATTTCATGCGGGGAAAAATAAAAAAAAACTATTTCGTCTATTAGTATTAATATGTGAAAAAGGGATCGAGGGCGAGTTCAACGGCATAGGCTCGTGCTGCTGCAGATGCAAGGGATCGCGAAAACTTATAATTTTAGCTTATTTTATATGCTTCGAGGACACTTGTTAAATAACTAATTAAGCAAACTTTGCGGTTTTCGGGTATCGGACTGGTTTGTGCGGTGCGTGATCATTACTGTGAAAAAGGAATAATATCTTTAATAAATGCCTAGGGGCGACCTGTTAATATGACCTAATAAGAAAAATAGTGATTAATACTTTAGATAAAATTTCACCCCATGCACGTGAACAACGCGATTGGTTGCAACAATAGACAACAACCGAGCTAAAAGGATCTAATACCCAACGGTACCGAAAAAACGAAAGGTGTGAAATCATTATTATTATTATTATTGTTATTATTATATATATCATGATAAGCATTAATTGGAAATCAAAACTTATCTAATTAACAAGTGCATTAAAGACATCCTCTAGTAAAATGGATCTTACTAATGAGTGTCCTCAAGGCGCTGGCTAATCATAACCTATAAAAAAATATCGATTATCAAGACACCGATTACACACTTTAGGAGAAGAGTTAGCGCATTGAAAAGTATGAAAATTTCTAAATTAGTAACTTAATAAGGGATTCAAAGCTTCGTCAACAAAATTTCTGACAAGTATCACGTATTAAACCTCGTAAATAGCTCGATTTTTTGTAATTAATGAAGGAAATTATGAGGATACCGCTCATATTATGTACAAAAAAAAAGTGGTGTCATTCCCTCTTTAAATTAAAGAGGTGTGTTTAATTTGCTACTATTACCGTCTTCCGGCTCGAAAGAAAGAAAAATTGGCATGACCTAACAAGATGGAATACTTAAGATATGTTTATTTCATAGAAAATAAATAATTTGTGAACAATAAAAATATTTTTCGTTCATTCATTTTTGTAACCAATATAAGCAATCATTTTTAGGAAAATATTTTCCAGATCAATTACTTTCCACAAAAAAATGAAGCGTTATATATTTTCAATTTTTTTATTGAAAAAAAGAAAAGAAAATGTGGTGCTTTCCCAATTACCCAAGATTCCATAAAAAATGATGCTGCAAAATTATTAAAAAGGGTTTCATCTTAACACTCAACTATTCTTATCTTGATTATTTCAACATTAGATGTGCTATCTCGATTTTTTTTTTTTTGGTCGATATCTCAATTTTCACATAAGCTGCTATTGTTATAGGACCCGGTACATGGTTTTATTGTGAAAGCTTTTCAAGCAATGATCATTGTATGATGTAATATAATAGAAAAATACTATTGGGATTACAAATGGTGTCAAAATTCGAACTTATACCCTGTATTTTGGTAACATATTAGAATATTCGAGTCCAAAGTTTCGGATATCGAGCACATAAATAAGCAATGGGAGAACAGTTTGACATCCCATTTTGCGTGCGAAACGACACATGTATTTGATAAATGAAAAATAACATAGAGAAAAATCATATGCCATACAAAAGGTGAAACGGAACATAAAAAAATTGATGTTCGACTATAATACAATGTCGGGCACGTTGTTTTTCTAAAAGTGATGCTGGAGAGAGTTCTATACCATCTTCATGATCAATGTAGGAGTCAAGTTCCCTTTCCATTTCAATCGGTAATTCCTAAGGCAAAAATTTAGATAGATTAATATGGAAAAATGTGGCATTTCATAGAATTGTGATGAGACGATTGGACTGGACAGATACAAATATATTAATTCGTTGATACGATTTGTATACGGTACTTTATGTTAATGAAATTAATATGCATTCAAGTCATTTAAATATTCGTCCCACTAAGGAAAACTATTTGCATCGTTAGCAATATCGGGAGTTACGGGTCACACGTCATAGTATTGTATATTATATAACTCAAAAATTCAAACACGCAAATTTTGAAATAAAAATTAAAAAAGACAATAACAAAGAAATGCCAAAGCCTAAATAAAGATTTCGAGCGTGTCTATGAGATTTACATATTCTTTATATACATGTGACATCTTTTCACATGTTGGCTTAATTTTTTGGATTGAACATTTTTAACAGAACATCAAAACAGAAATTCCTCAATTCAAACATTTCTAATAAGTTTTTAGATCGGATGTTCTAATGCATCTAAATAAAATCTAACGAGATAATCTCTATTATTTTAACGAAAACTCTTAAATTTGGTGTCCAACCCCAAATTAACTAAAATACTCCTATGGTCTGTATGATTCTTACAACAACGACAACAAAAAATCGAGAATAGTGATTCCATGTTGCAAAGAGAGGCAACCGAAAGGTCAAAAATAAGACCGAAAAACATTAAGGGTGTGTTCGTTTCGTGGAAAATGAGTGATTTGAAAAGTATTTTTCGAAAAATGGTTGTTTATATCGTATAGAAAAATTAGTCAACGGAAAATATTTTCATCGTCGATTAACAATCTATGCCTAATTATTTTCATGGGCAATGAAATTTTTTTCCATTTATTTATTTTTGTAAGCGATACAAGTGATTATTTTTCGGAAAATATTTTCTAAATCACTCATTTTTTGTGAAACGAACACACTATAAGACTCCGTTTGTTTCGCTGAAAATAAATGATTAGGAAAATACCGTCCTAAAAATGATCGTTTGTATCATTTACAAAAATGAATAGACAAAGAGTACTTTTATCAATTACGAAAATATCTAGACATACATTGTTGACGATACCAAAGATATTTTTCATTGGCCAACTACTTCAGTTGTAAAGTCAAAATAGTCAAGGACATGGATCCTCTACCAGCATGTTCTATAGATTGTTTTTGGACGCCGGAGGAAAGAGTCTTTGCCCTTCGGCTAGGGTCCTCCCCATTAAAATCTTCACCTCGAAAATAAATGTGTTAAAATATCCTAACTATAGGATTTATATGATTTTTATATAAAAATTACATGCATAGCATGACTATGATGTTTATATTATATATATATATATATATATATATATATATATATATATATATGAGATCTCTCTTCATTTGTCAGTTTAAACTTTTGAGTTGGATTTTCTGACGAAAAAAATCAATTAAACGAAAAAAAGAAAGTCAAACTAATAGTGTTTGCAGGGCAAAGATCCATCAATTTGTATTAAAATTTCTCTTTTTTTTAATCACTAAAGTCCGTCATATTTTTAATTTTCAAATCTGCAATTAGTGGATATAGTTAAGCAAACAATTCTGGACGTAGCTTTGGACGTCTCTATCTGGTTTTAAAGTTCCCCCGGAATTCCAAACTTAAAATTTTTGTTAGACCCTTAATTTTAAATTAAGCTTCTTCGCCCAATTCTATTAAAAAAAGTAAACCTAATCCTGCTCTAATTCCACAATATTTATCCCTTTATAAATGTGACATCCCTGGATTAACTCACTCGAGGTATTGTCCGCTTTGACGCGTCCCATACCGAGGGTCACGATTTTGTCCATTGGAGTATAGGTAGGCATTTTTCTAAGAGGTCACCCATCTTAGTAGTACTCTGGCCTAGGCTCACTTAACTTTGGAGTTTCAAAGCAAAGCTTGCCGTTACGTCAAAAGATACCTCCGTGATTTAATTCCAGTTTTCACATATATATTCTAAAATCACTCTCCCCTTATTTGGTGCACAATTCGATTCATTCCCGCCCCTTTTGCCATCCTAGAAGCTTGCTAGGAGCTGCTTATTGTCCAAACCCTCTAGCCACGGCGACCACTCCTTGCCCTCGTCGGATCGGGTCGTTACAGGCCCATCGGCTTCCGTGTGGTTCGTCCCCGAACTACACACTTACTGGAGGGGGTCCCGTTCCGATACTATAATGTGACATCCCTAGATTAACTCACTCGATGTATTGTCCGCTTTGGCTCGTCCCATACTGAGCCTCGCGATTTAGTCCATTAGCGTACAGGCAGACACTTTCCCAGGAGATCACCCATTCTAGTAGTGCTCTGACCTGGGCTCGCTTAACTTTAGAGTTCCAAAGCAAAGCTTGCCGTTACATCAAAAAGAGCCTCTGTGAGTTAATTCTAGTTTTCACATATACATTCCAGAATCGCTCTCTCTCTCTGTTCGATGCACAATTCGATTCATTCCTGCCTCCTTCGCCATCCTAAAAGCCTACCAGGAGCTGCTCCTTGTCCAGACCCTCAGGCCCCGGTGACCACTCTCCATCCTCGTCGGACCATGTCGTTACAATAAATACCATTGGCTAAGCCTCCAACAATTTGTCTCAATATCTCTGCCCTCGGTTAGAGATCAAATTCACTAAGGAGAGTTGCCATACTAGTCGGAAAGTTCTGATGGCGGTTCTTAGAAGGAAGCTGCGTCGCCTCGTCGAGAAGTTAGGAATCAGCAAGAAGCTAGCGAGAAGAGGATGCTTCGCAGTGTACATTGGTGAAGAGAGAGAACGTCGCGGGATCCCGGTGAAGTACTTGCGTTCTATAATGTTGCAAGCGCTGTTTAATCAATGCCGAGACCGATCGGACGACCGCACGGAGCTCCACTTGTGTTGCTCGCCCGAATTGCTCAATTGGGTTCTTGAACTGGCTAAGGCCGAAGTAGAAGAGACCAACCATAATCTTGCGATCAAGAATGATGGGATAATACATGACGATATGCACCCAATTC